TAGTTTAGAATTATGTGAAGCAACATCGGTCCCATATCAATTAAGTTTCTTGTTTTTTGTCTATTCTTTGCTATTCCAATAATGTGTTTTTGGCCCCGAGTGTTTGGCACATTATACATACACGTTCTAATGTTATGATATTTTGAATACAACTACATTAGTACGATGAAAAATTATAGTGCTCAGTAATTATATATATTTATATCAGATATTATATCATTTATCATAGCTTTTAAAAGTAATTTTGTAATTGTTATATAATAAGTGATTTAATGATATATACAACACACACACATATATATACATATAAGTTAGATTGTGTGTAATGAGTATTTAATGACAAATAGAAAATAGAAGATTATGGGAGCCGACATATCCCAGCAGGTAGCGAGAAAACGCTGGCAATGTCTATTTATTTAAAAAAAAAAATATAATTAATATAATTAGCAAGATTGATGGTAACATTAAATATCCGATAACCTGATATCCTGAATGTCAAGTTATTATTTAGGCAACGTGCCAGTTATATATATGTTACTCACATGAGCAATTTGATTATTATAGCTACTTAATCACTTGAGTGAATATATTACCTAGTCGGTTATATTTGGAAGAGAGCTGAGGTGCCATTTATTGCTTCCAATTATTCCTAAAGAACGTACTGTCGATATATTTTTATGAGAGTTAATATGACTGATGGTTATGACACGACATAAATACGTTACATTGTTTGTGTGATACTGCACACCAACGATAAGTCACAGGAGAAAACAATTTACTGTGAACTTTTAAATAAGGATCAACAATGAGTTTGTAGAAAAGACTATTTCTGTGTGTACCTTTAAACAAAGAAACCCAATTCATTGCGATTTTGTAGCAGAAAACATTTAATTACGTCGTTGAAGCAAAACACATTTACTTTTGTAGCAAAGCATATTTCACTGATATTTTAGACATCACATTTACTTGTGAATGTCCTTAAGTCAGAAAATTGACAAATTTCAAACAGCAGATGGGCAAGAATATATACTGTATGAGTTGGCAGAATTAGCTAATCAATAACACAGTTACTAAATTATTGAATAATATCAATGAATCTAGCATTAATGAACTGCAATCTAATCAATTATCTGTAGGTTTAATAAGACTAATTATTAATAAATGACAACCAGGGGCAGGGTTATTTAAATATCACTACTACATTTTAATTTGAACAGAAAAAATATACCAAGTTCTTTGAATCATTTGATGCGTTGGCTTAAGTAACACAATACACAATGCATTGTTATATACTGGTGCATTATGGTCTTCCATAATGTGTACACATCCAATTAGTCCTAGAACATCTGAGAACTCTCAAAGTGTCTTCATTTCTATAATGTATTGAGTAGATACTTAAATTAAGTTTTATTTTGCACAAATATTTTTATTTGTCATTTAGCGAATTTTAATTGTTTTTATATTGTTTGCAATAGGTCGCGTGCATATATTTTGCGATCAACTGCAAAGATTAGTTGTTTTTGAAGTGAGTCATTTTTTTTATCATTTTATAGGAATTAATACTGCTTGAGATTTTTGCTCATTCTAATTCTATAAGGTTTTGAATCAACTTTCATGAATTTCTAAGTTTTTTTTCAAAGCGTTCACGTGATCGTTGTGATTATTCTTATAAAAGATTGGGCATGTCGTGATACGGAAAGCTGAGGACATAACCAGGACAGCTATTCATTGGACGTAGAAGAAAAAGCGGGTTCGGCACAAGAACACTTGGCGACTGACTGTGGACAATGAAATGACTGGTGGTGATACAATTTATTTATGCACACAAATATAGCCTAGTATAGTCATAGTCTATTACCACCTACTCAGCTACGACTGCTATTGAGTATGAGTCTGTCCACCAGCAATGACAAACGAATCGAAAATGCAGGCACATGCACGAACATGTAAACACAAACACGGGGCTCGAAAATGCGTCTCGATACTATAAGCAGAACGATCTACTCAGTTACAAAAGTGAGTATCATATGTAATATTGTTAGTTGAACAATCAAGCGCTTTCATTAGGAATGATGTGATATATCAAACTGCTGATGAATGCAGTAAGGATATTACAAGTTGTCACATTTTTATTGCCATACTTGATTGAAGTGATAGTGTTACTGCCTGAAAATCTAATACAGTCTAATAGTAGAAATATATATGATATATCATTTCAGTGCACAGACTTTTTTCACCATGTCTAGTGGTGATTCGTCGTGGATTGTGACACGGCCACGGTTTGAATTGATTTCAAAATTATTAATTATGTTACCGAAACTGTAACACCGTTAAAATATTCAAACAAAAATGAACGACTCGCCAACCCCTGCATATATAATGATTACCTCAATGGCTCTACCGGAAACTCTGTATTATGGGCCATAGAAATTAATCAATATTGTTGGCAAAATTTAGTTAACATCTCTTTCAATTTTTGAATAAATTAAAAAATCAATAGCGTTGTACTGATTGAAAGCTGACGTATTCTGGCCCTCTTTCCTATAATAGAACTCCTTAAACTACATAATTTGCGTTATTAGTTTACTTATGATCATGTGGTTAAATAAAATAACACTGTTGTACGGAGGCATTGATGGCACTTTGCTGGCGTGGCTCTCAGATTTTCCAACATACACCATATGATTATAACTTACATGTGGCGGGTATCACATGTGGAGCAGGTACTGTTTCCACCTGGCATCAATTCATATATACCACGGATTCCACATATCTTTTACATACTGATTTGACAATGTTGTGTAATGTATTTGTTAGTTTGTTGTTCTCTTGGATTGTTTGTATAGAATATGTTATAAAAGTCCCCGAACATATACTTCGAAATACGATGATGCTGTACACACGTTGCATAAGCGTTGAAATAAAATATACATACTAAAATAGTGGAAGGTGGATCCTGTAGTGTCTGTCACATCGTCCATTGTGTGACCTCTGACCTCTGACTCAGCTTTGGCTATACATAAAGAGATAATTAGATATATGTAATGGAATATTATTTACCGCCACTAGACGTTTTTCAAGTGCTGTTGATTTCGAGAAAAAAATTAAAACCTAGCTTAGTGACTTAGAGAAAAGTGAGAGAGTAAAGAAGCCCCCCTCCCTCCAATTTTCATTACAACATCTCATGCAACTATCATCAATTTAAAGTTATGAAACAGGAGATTCCTAATTGATACAGAGAGTCTTATCACAAATATTATATAGATAATGTTAAAATAAAAACATAGATAGACAAACAAGTTGTATAAGGAAAATACAAGTTTGTCAACATAATGCAACTACAAGAACGTTGCTTAGATTTATCAGTGATAGATAGGTGATAAGAAGACAAAGATATGTTTTTTTTCATAAGAATGGATACAAGGAAAGTAATGGTAAGGGACATGAATGGTCTTACGGCATCCGATTTGTTTTGTCGTTCACTCTATACCGTACTAACTGAATTAAATGTGAAAGCTAAATGCCGGTTTAATAATGCAATTTAATATTTTGTTCAACAACCATTTTCTTAGTTCAGAAAAAATCAATATTCAATTACGTTTCACATAAAATGAATAACCGGTGTACCTTTGATGGTGATTTTATGAAAATGTAACTAGGGGGCATTGACAAGGAATATTAAGCCAGTCAGTTAATTGTTGTACAGGAAGATAAGTCAACTACACAAATTAAAAGAAAAGATTGAATATCAGTTTAAATTATTATATAACCTGTAGTTAACAACAAATGCATTAATATAAAACTACAACCCTAGAAAGCAAAGGTAGACAAAACAAACATTTACACATTATTTTGAAAATAATTTATGAAATCGTTACTTATAAGTTTGTACTATGGAGTAACTACGGGCGTGCTTTATGAAGCAATCCCACATAACCCACATTTGAATCGCTTAGAACTCTCTTTTTTCACTCATTAGTATCAAAACATCGAGGAGACCAAGTCCTGCAGTTATATAGTCCAGCGTGATCCGTGACATTTTGAGCTATTTGCCTTGCAGATAATCACTAAACACTGAATTAATTGGTAGTAGGCTTTGTAGTATTACGGTTTCAATCAGAGTGTATTCGTGATAAGCCATCTGTGCCCATCAACGTTTCCTGAAAGCTTGAAGTAAAAATCATTTTAGACGTCAACAGTATACATTACATTATAATATTTATACTAGCAAGTATTAGCAAAATATGGTTTTGCAATATTATTGGGAATGATGTAAAATCGTCATAAATTATTGAATGAAGGAAATTATTTTGTAAACACGCTCCCTGTATCATGTAACATTGTTTATTATTTTTACAAACAAAGTACAATAAATTTGTACTTTTCATAAAATAACTTTTAACATGTAGCAAATGGAAAGGATGTCTATTTGTTCCAAATTTAACAAGCACATTATAGAACGCATATTTAAATGCGTGCAAATAAATCACATAGCAAATTATGTCACCCGAAAGTTGTGACATGGGACACGGGAGGTCACGCTCCCATGTCACTATGTCATTATGCGTTATTTCGATGTGTTCGTGTGATGTCAGATCCACGTCAATGTCAGCTACTATGTATGAGTGAGATGTGTACGTGTGATGTCAGTGTCATGTCACTATGTATGAGTGAGATGTGTACGTGTGATGTCAGTGTCATGTCACTATGTATGAGTGAGATGTGTACGTGTGATGTCAGCGTCATGTCACTATGTATGCGTGAGATGTGTACATGTACGTGTGATGTCAGTGTCATGTCACTATGCACCAGTGAGACGTGTTCGTGTGATGTCAGTGACATGTCACTATGTATTAGTGAGATATGTACGTGTGAAGTCAGTGTCATGTCACTATGTATGAGTGAGTGAGATGTGTACGTGTGATGTCAGTGTCATGTCATTATATATGAGTGAGATATGTAAGTGTGATGTCAGTGTCATGTCAATATGTATGAGTGAGATGTGTACGTGTGATGTCGGTGCCATGTCACTATGCACCAGTGAGACGTGTTCGTGTGATGTCAGTGTCATGTCACAATGTATGCGTGAGATGTGTACGTGTGATGTCAGTGTCATGTCACTATGCACCAGTGAGACGTGTTCGTGTGATGTCAGTGTCATGCCACTATGTATGAGTGAGATATGTACGTGTGATGTCAGTGTCATGTCACTATGTATGAGTGAGATGTGTACGTGTGATGTCAGTGTCATGTCACTATTTATGAGTGAGATGTGTACGTTTGATGTCAGTGTCATGTCAATATGTATGAGTGAGATGTGTACGTGTGATGTCGGTGCCATGTCACTATGCACCAGTGAGTCGTGTTCGTGTGATGTCAGTGTCATGCCATTATATATGAGTGAGATATGTAAGTGTGATGTCAGTGTCATGTCACAATGTATGAGTGAGATGTGTAAGTGTGATGTCAGTGTCATGTCACTATGTATGAGTGAGATGTGTAAGTGTGATGACAGTGTAATGTCACTATGTATGAGTGAGACGTGTACGTGTGATGTCAGTGTCATGTCACTATGCATGAGTGAGATGTGTACGTGTGATGTCAGTGTTATGTCACTATGTATGAGTGAGATCTGTACGTGTGATGGCAGTGTCATGTCCCTATGTATGAGTGAGATATGTACGTGTGATGTCAGTATCATGGCACAATGTATGAGTGAGATGTGTACGTGTGATATCAGTGTCATGTCCCTATGTATGAGTGAGATATGTACGTGTGATGTCAGTATCATGGCACAATGTATGAGTGAGATGTGTACGTGTGATGTCAGTGTCATATCACTATGTATGAATGAGATGTGTACGTGTGATGTCAGCGTCATGTCACTATGTATGAGTGAGACGTGTACGTGTGATGTCAGTGTCATGTCACTATGTATGAGTGAGACGTGTACGTGTGATGTCAGTGTCATGTCACTATGTATGAGTGAGATGTGTCCGTGTGATGGCAGTGTCATGTCCCTATGTATGAGTGAGATATGTACGTGTGATGGCAGTGTCATGTCCCTATGTATGAGTGAGATATGTACGTGTGATGTCAGTGTCATGTCCCTATGTATGAGTGAGATATGTACGTGTGATGTCAGTGTCATGGCACAATGTATGAGTGAGATGTGTCCGTGTGATGGCAGTGTCATGTCCCTATGTATGAGTGAGATATGTACGTGTGATGGCAGTGTCATGTCCCTATGTATGAGTGAGACGTGTACGTGTGATGTCAGTGTCATGTCACTATGTATGAGTGAGATGTGTAAGTGTGATGACAGTGTAATGTCACTATGTATGAGTGAGACGTGTACGTGTGATGGCAGTGTCATGTCCCTATGTATGAGTGAGATATGTACGTGTGATGGCAGTGTCATGTCCCTATGTATGAGTGAGACGTGTACGTGTGATGTCAGTGTCATGTCACTATGTATGAGTGAGATGTGTAAGTGTGATGACAGTGTCATGTCCCTATGTATGAGTGAGATATGTACGTGTGATGGCAGTGTCATGTCCCTATGTATGAGTGAGACGTGTACGTGTGATGTCAGTGTCATGTCACTATGTATGAGTGAGATGTGTAAGTGTGATGACAGTGTAATGTCACTATGTATGAGTGAGACGTGTACGTGTGATGTCAGTGTCATGTCACTATGCATGAGTGAGATGTGTACGTGTGATGTCAGTGTTATGTCACTATGTATGAGTGAGATCTGTACGTGTGATGGCAGTGTCATGTCCCTATGTATGAGTGAGATATGTACGTGTGATGTCAGTATCATGGCACAATGTATGAGTGAGATGTGTACGTGTGATATCAGTGTCATGTCCCTATGTATGAGTGAGATATGTACGTGTGATGTCAGTATCATGGCACAATGTATGAGTGAGATGTGTACGTGTGATGTCAGTGTCATATCACTATGTATGAGTGAGACGTGTACGTGTGATGTCAGTGTCATGTCACTATGTATGAGTGAGATGTGTACGTGTGATGTCAGTGTCATGTCACTATGTATGAGTGAGATGTGTCCGTGTGATGGCAGTGTCATGTCCCTATGTATGAGTGAGATATGTACGTGTGATGGCAGTGTCATGTCCCTATGTATGAGTGAGATATGTACGTGTGATGTCAGTGTCATGTCCCTATGTATGAGTGAGATATGTACGTGTGATGTCAGTGTCATGGCACAATGTATGAGTGAGATGTGTACGTGTGATGTAAAAGTCATGTCACTATGCATGAGTAAGATGTGTACGTGTGATGTCAGTGTCATGTCACTATGTATGAGTGAGATGTGTCCGTGTGATGGCAGTGTCATGTCCCTATGTATGAGTGAGATATGTACGTGTGATGTCAGTGTCATATCACTATGTATGAATGAGATGTGTACGTGTGATGTCAGTGTCATGTCACTATGTATGAGTGAGACGTGTACGTGTGATGTCAGTGTCATGTCACTATGTATGAGTGAGACGTGTACGTGTGATGTCAGTGTCATGTCACTATGTATGAGTGAGATGTGTACGTGTGATGTCAAAGTCATGTCACTATGTATGAGTAAGATGTGTACGTGTGATGTCAGTGTCATGTCACCATGTATGAGTGAGATGTGTACGTGTGATGTCAGTGTCATTCACAATGCATCAGTGAGATGTGTACGTGTGATGTCAGTGTCATGGCACAATGCATCAGTGAGATGTGTACATGTGATATAAGTGTCATGTCACCATGTAGGAGTGAGATGTGTACGTGTGATGTCAGTGTCATGGCACATTGCATCAGTGAGATGTGTACGTGTGATATCAGTGTCATGTCACTATGCATGAGTGAGATGTGTACGTGTGATGTCAGTGTCATGTCACAATGCACCAGTGAGATGCATACGTGTGATGTCAGTGTCATGTCACAATGCACCAGTGAGACGTATTCGTGTGATGTCAGTGTCATGTCACTACACATGAATGAGATGTGTACGTGTTATGTCAGTGTCATGTCACTATGCATCAATGAGATGTGTACGTGTGATGTCAGTGTCACGTCACTATGCATGAGTGAGATGTGTACGTGTGATGTTAGTGTCATATCACTATACATGAGTGAGATGTGTACGTGTTATGTCAGTGTCATGTCACAATGCCTCAGTGCGATGTGTACGTGTGATGTGAGTGTCATGGCACAATGCATCAGTGAGATGTGCACGTGTCATATCAGTGTCATGTCACTATGCATGAGTGTGACGTGTTCGTGTGATGTCAGTGTCATATCACCATGTATGAGTGAGATGTGTACGTGTGATGTCAGTGTCACGTCACTTTGCATGAGTGAGATGTGTACGTGTGATGTTAGTGTCATATCACTATACATGAGTGAGATGTGTACGTGTTATGTCAGTGTCATGTCACAATGCCTCAGTGCGATGTGTACGTGTGATGTGAGTGTCATGGCACAATGCATCAGTGAGATGTGCACGTGTCATATCAGTGTCATATCACTATGCATGAGTGAGATGTGTACATGTTATGTCAGTGTCATGTCACAATGCATCAGTGATATGTGTACGTGTGCTGTCAGTGTCATGTCACAATGCATCAGTGAGATGCGTACGTGTGATGTCGGTGCCATGTCACTATGCACCAGTGAGTCGTGTTCGTGTGATGTCAGTGTCATGCCATTATATATGAGTGAGATATGTAAGTGTGATGTCAGTGTCATGTCACAATGTATGAGTGAGATGTGTACGTGTGATGTCAGTGTCATGTCACTATGTATGAGTGAGATGTGTACGTGTGATGTCAGTGTCATGTCACTATGCATGAGTGAGATGTGTACGTGTGATGTCAGTGTCATGTCACTATGTATGAGTGAGATGTGTACATGTGATATCAGTGTCATCTCACAATGCATCAGTGAGATACGTAGTGTGATATCAGTGTTATGTCGATATGCATGAGTGAGATGTGTACATGTGATGTCAGTGTCATGTCACTATGTATGAGTGAGATGTGTACGTGTGATGACAGTGTAATGTCACTATGTATGAGTGAGACGTGTACGTGTGATGTCAGTGTCATGTCACCATGTATGAGTGAGATGTGTACGTGTGATGTCAGTGTCATTCACAATGCATCAGTGAGATGTGTACGTGTGATGTCAGTGTCATGGCACAATGCATCAGTGAGATGTGTACATGTGATATAAGTGTCATGTCACCATGTAAGAGTGAGATGTGTACGTGTGATGTCAGTGTCATGTCACAATGCATCAGTGAGATGTGCACGTGTGATATCAGTGTCATGTCACTATGCATGAGTGAGATGTGTACGTGTGATGTCAGTGTCATGTCACAATGCACCAGTGAGATGCATACGTGTGATGTCAGTGTCATGTCACAATGCACCAGTGAGACGTGTTCGTGTGATGTCAGTGTCATGTCACTATGCACCAGTGAGATATGTACGTGTGATGTCAGTGTCATGTCACTATGCATGAATGAGATGTGTACGTGTGATGTCAGTGTCATATCACTATGCATGAGTGAGATATGTACGTGTGATGTCAGTGTCTTGTCACTATGCATCAATGAGATGTGTACGTGTGATGTCAGTGCCATGTCACTATGTATGAGTGAGATGTGTACGTGTGATGACAATGTCATGACACTACACATGAATGAGATGTGTACGTGTGATGTCAGTGTCATGTCACAATGCATCAGTGAGACGTGTACGTGTGTTGTCAGTGTCATATCTTGTGAATTAATACCATCTCCGCATATTATAGAGCACTATTTAATTTCAACAGCTTTTCCCACTTGGATGTATTATTTTGAAAGGTACATCATTGAACAGTTTCTGATATCACATAAGCTCGACAAAAAGAGTCGATAGTATAAAGTGAATTTATTCAATTATTATTTAAGAATGTGACCCAGACTAATGTTCATTTATTATTAAAATTACATTTGACATGCAAGATGACATTCAACTATACATATATAATATATACTGAGTTATCTCTGAATGTGTTTTTGTTTAATTTAGTATCCCAATATTGAAGATCGTCATCTAATCACCATATGGTAATAATTAATGTTTACAATGCGATTAGAAATTACTGGAAACAATGACTTTTCAAACTTCAATAATATATATGACAACGACAGTACGTTTAAAATGACAGTGTGTATCAAATCTTAAAAGGCAGTAAGCAGCAACTTCATTTTTTCACAATAAATTGAAGTACCAATTTCCGTGTTATATAAATTGTGACGTATTGACACAAAACCGTTTAAATCACATGTACGACAAATGCCGACGTCATAAACAGGCTGAGCTGGGCTTCTGCATATTAGGCCTGAAGGGCCTGTCGTTGAATTATTTTCTCTATAAGCCCTCGAGAGAGTCGGCTTGTTTGAGCAGACAGTAGCTCCTGGCAAACTCGGATTACTCAAATACGAATCCAATAACTATGATAGAAAAGTAGTGATTTAGAAGTAGCGTGGATACAATCACACTTACGTATATACACAGCTTCAACCACTCATAAGAGTCAATTCCCTTTCATATATTGAACGGTGATTTATAATGTAACTGTCACACAGGAAGTGAAACTCATACGTGCGTACATCAGTTTCTCTCTAACTTGAGATGACACCTCGCGGCGAAGTGGCCTTTGCTCTGCTTCATCTGTCGCCGCAAATATGTATCGCCTTAGTGATATTTTTTATACAACATAATGACCATTCAATTTACTTTCACACTGTGGTTGCTTTTTCCATTCTCTGAGAAAACTGTGCTACTGACGTGTAACATATTTAGGTGACATTCCAGTGTACGGGAAACAGAATTTCTGTGCAGTTTTTTTGTTAATACCATAGTCATTGTTCAATGTGCAATCCACAGAATATTCACCAACCCCATCTGGCGTTGAAGTTTCAATGATATACGAACACGAAAATTACAATCAAAGAAAACCGAATCGCAATAACGTCACACGTGTATTGTTATTATTAGTACCTTTTACTACAATTGCTGAATTTACTACAATACAATCTCATAATGGAAATTGGCAAATAACTTATGTTTTTGACATAACCTTTAACATGCCGTGCTCAGCCACGCACAGTAAACTCAACATAATAAAAACGAAGCACTTATATTTTTAAAGTACTGCTATGCTAAGTCAATCTCAATTTATTTATTTATTTATTTATTTATTTATTTATTTATTTATTTATTTATTTATTTATTTATTTATTTATTTATTTAGTTATTGTTCACTGATGTTGATTTTTTATTTTGATGTCAAAATTACAGAAATTACTTAGACAAGTAGGTAGCGCACGTTGCAATAATTGGCATTGATTCGTTTTTTATTAGTTTATTGTACTTGAACAGTTGAGCAGACACGTGAAAACAAAATTCTGCACAATTGGTCATCGTTAAATGTACACCAGACACCAATTTAACTACTTGTCTAATTAATTTCGATCAGGACTAAAAGATATCTAAACTTTGTGTATCTGAACAATTCCGGTGACTACACAAGCTGTTGTATTGCAAATTGCAACTCTACCTTGTCTCAGGTGGGCTCTATAGTTTTATAACAGACGTATAAATTGTTAGTCTTAATCGTGCCTCAAACGCTTCACATGCAAGCTTACGTCATATGTGCCTGTACTACATAACTAGACCTATCGTAGGATAAACGATGTTTGATTTCCGTTAAAATGGATTTATTTTGAGGCAAAATACTGTCAATGGCAGTTCTCAAATAAATTGATTGGATTAATGTCATGCTAAAACGCACAACATAACCAGGTATTACCCTGCTTTCCATACTCATTGAGCTTCCTGTCACGAGACTGTGTGGTTGTTGTGACTGCTCGTCGAGAATCAACTACCAATTGAAAGCACAATATATATAAATACATTAATAGTTTTATTGTTTTGCTTTACTGTACTGTAACTTTCTAGTTACAGCGTTTTTCATTTTATTCGCGAAAATAATGTCCACTACAGGCAATATACATTTAAAAAATAAACTTGTTCTATTTTCTAATGCGAAATTCACCCTAAGACGATTAGCAACAAAATAGGCCAATAAAACAATATTTCACGTTTCCTTGACGGAGCCATTAATTTGAAATAACGTATTAACACGCATTTATTACTATTAGTAACACGAAATGGATAAACAATTTAACCACATCACCGTATCATTCTGAATATAAAGCAGCTTGGTCCATGCTTTGATTTATTTTTCACTTGAACGATTCGCATACGTTACATAGACTCGACGAAACACTGCATGCCGTTTCTGTGATTGATGAAATTGCGCGTCACTATAAAGTGCATTCAAGTTCACTGCCTTATTTCTAATTATATATACCACGGGGCAAACAGTGAAATTCGATATGTTCAATCTCCTGCACATGTAACTATAAGAGTTGCAGGGGCACAGTAAACATCGGGGAATACTACACACATGTAAACATATTCGAGTTAACTATCCTGGCGTGTCAATGTCTTTATTAATGTCCTATAAAGCGTGAAAGGAACTATTCGATGATTTGTGGAGTAAAATAAATTTTACAATGTACAGAATCTGTCATAAATTGTAATTGTTATTAACGTTCTAAAAAAGATTTTTGAGCAACTAAACACTGATTGTATATGTTATTATATATTATATGTGCGCACAATGAATGCTTGAT